AGCCTTATTCGTAATCTTTCCAACTCTGATTAAATGAAATCCCAGCTGGACAGTTCCCATTTCCACTTGGAATTTGAACTAATACTATCAATCTTGTCTTTTTTCCCCCCATAATAGCTTAGGGACTTCCTAAGTAAAGCAAAATATTGTTTCAAAAACTTCCCAGGAGAATTTTGTAATTGCTCTGGCCTCACTCCCATAATTTTTTCAGTTGTTTTTTCTTTCCATGATAAACCCATTAAGTGGAACTGGCTTCACAATATTTTTTGATAGCACTAACAACTGCCTGGAAGCATCTTCAGTAAGAAAAGCTCCAGGCAACTAGTCATTCTATCTCCTCACTTTTCCAATTCCATTTTAAAATGCAGCCTGGACTATTAAAGCTATTTTCATTATTTGCCAGGATCAAGATTCTATAAATGTTTGCAAGTCTAAACAGCTCATATAAAACTAACAGCCAATCAACACTTGCTCTTCCTGGCAAATAATTGAACACAGAGAACCAGAAGCCAATCAGTGCTCATCTGTTTCATACTTAAACACATTATTATTATGATTAGTCCCACAGTCAGACAGATGTTTAGAGGGGATTTTATCCATCTATACTAGCATCATTCTCAAAGACCTGGGATAGAAAAATGAGATAGTAATAACAACATATTATTAAAATATTAACATTAAAATAAAATATTATTCGTACTATATATACAGTGAGAAATCAATTGTCAGCTGGCATTATTATATAAAAATTATGAATACAAATTATATATGAATAATATAATAATATATAATAATAATATAATATAATAATAATATAATATAATATAATATAATATAATATAATATAATATAATATAATATAATATAATATAATATAATATAATATAATATAATATAATATAATATAATATAATATAATAATATAATATAATATAATATAATAATATAATATAATATAATAATATAATATAATATAATATATAATATAATTAATATAATATAATATAATATAATATAATATAATATAATATAATATAATATAATATAATATAATATAATAATATAATATAATATAATATAATATAATAATATTTCTGCCAATTCCCATTGACTCTGAGCAATTATAAATTGTTAAGAATATTTTAAAACAACAATGCAAGAAACACAAAATAAAACATATCAAGAGCCATGGTGATACTGTATTCCCAATTTTTATCATTACAGATTAATGGGCCTTGTCTCCTGTGCCAACGGCACTCTGTATGACAAAACAGAGGAAGGTGGATATGGTATATTTCTTGCTAAAATAACAGCCCATTGAAAAAGGAGGAGAAATCATAGCACTGGAAAGGACCTTGGAGCAGAGGCGTAGCGTGGGGGGTGCAGGGGGGGCCGGCCGCACCGGGCGCAACATCTGGGGGGGCGCGCTCGCACTTGCAGCTCTCTGCCCCTGCCTGGCTCACTCTCTCTGCAGTGCTGGCTGTGTGAATCCGATCTGAGCCGCCGGGTCGCCGACGCCGCCCACTGTGGAGGGGGGGGTGCCTTGCCCCGGATGCTGACAACCCACGCTACACCACTGCCTTGGAGGTCTTCGAGTCCAACACCCTGCCCAAGGCAGGAACCCCTTATTCGATCCTGGACAAATGATTGTCCAATCTTTTCTTGAAAACTACCAGCAATGGAGCACTCACACCTCGGGGAGTCAAGCTGTTCCATGGACTAACTGGCCTCACTCTCAGGAAGTTTCTCCTTAGTTCCAGGTTGCTTCTCTCTCTGACTAGCTTCCACCCGTTGCTTCTTGTTCTGCCCTCAGGTGCTTTGGAGAATAAATCGACCCCCACTTCCCTGTGACAGTCCTTCAGGTATTTGAAGATGGCTATTAGGTCACCCCCTAAGCCTTCTCTTTGTTAGGCTAAACATACCTCATTCCCTTAGCTGTTCATTATAAGATTTAGCCTCCGGAATTCTTATCATCTTTGTTGCTCTTCTCTGCACTCTTTCTAAGGCCTCAGTGTCTTTTTTTGTGTTATGGTAATAAGAAAAATCAGAAAATAATCTCACAGCACCAGATTTTCCTTAGTGAATGTGACCTCCCAAACCTAAGAACAACCCAAAGAGAAATATTTAAGGAGAGATGGGAAAAAGTATTAAAATATTCTGAAGATTATGACCCAGTTTTTTAGCTCCTATGTCCATTAAATATAAAACACAGCACCAATGCCAATTAACACAATTTAAGAGCATTTCCTTGAAGAGGGAGAGAAAGGAAGCAATGATAGAAATTTTCAATCTATTTTGCTCCAAAAGAACATCCAAAAGACAACTCCTAGCCCTTCTCATTACCATCTGAGTAAACAGACCTCAGCAACCATAAGCTAGAATTCAAAGGACAAAAAGACCTTCTAGAGCAGATTAATTTAAGTCACTGGCTGATCCATTTCAAGCAATCTACACATCAATCAATTGACATTGAATTGTCAATTATAACATAAATATTGACAGGCATTGAAACAGATGGCAGGTAAATTCAGAAGGCCACTTGACTCCATAATTAAAACTCTATATTCTGAAACTAATGTTACAAATTAAGGCGGAATACTTTGAAAACCAAAGTCACTATCCAAATACCTTATTTGCTACTGGAAAAGGTCCCAAAATAGGAAAAAGAGAGGTGCATATTTATTTTTCCCTCTAACAACCCAAGAACATCTCTCTCTCTCTCTCTCTCTCTCTCTCTCTCTCTCTCTCTCTCTCTCTCTCTCTCTCTCTCTCTCTCTCTCTCTCTCCATTTCCCAACAGTCTCACACAAAATGTACATATGTGGCTTTCAGACAATATTTCTTCACTACTCAAACCTCCAAGGACATCATAATTACAATAAATGAGCATCCTATTCACACATGCACACACCAAATGATGAGAGTCAAACTGTTCTCCAGCTGTAGAATATGAAGGTTTCAAGATACAAATCCTTTGGGATTTATGAGCTGAAATTCTGAGAAAATATAAACAAGCTAATTACAGTTTGGGAGAAGATATCCTTGGGGATTCCCTGAAAACTCATAAAAACCATTTTGTGGCAATGTTCAATATCTAATAAGCAACTGAAATTTGTGTTGTGAATTTCATATCAGAAAGTTCAGATTCCAATAGCTTCAAAAACAAAAGAAATGAATTCTAATTTAATTTCACCTGAATTTCAGTCTATCTCAAATCAGAAATGGGTGATAGAATGTGTGCCCTCTTCATTTCTTGCTCTATCTGTTCTTTATAAGATTGCTAATCTGAGGATGCTTCCTTTTGTCTTTCTTCTTCTCAGACACAAATGCATAGAATGCATATTCTTTGATTCTCCTCCTGGTAGGAAATTTTCTAGTTTTGGCTTATCCTTACTATATATTGCCTATAAATAAATTTCCTTTCTCTTAAACCTCTAAAATTTGCTTCATTTATTCTTGCTCTGATTCCTTTTCTCAAGGTCATTCACAAATACAGGTGTTTGTCGACCTACAATAGTTCATTTAGTGACTCTTTGAAGTTGCAGCATCCCTAGAGTCACATGATACAAATTCAGACAGTTGGCAATTGACTCATATTTATGACGGTTGCAATGTCCCAGGGTCATGGGATCACCTTTTGCAACCTTCTAACAAGCAAAGTCAACTGGGAAGCCAAATGGACTTAACAACCGCGTTACTAACTTAACAACGGCAGTGATTCACTTAACGTGACAAGAGAAGTCTTAAAATGGGGCAAAATTCACTTAACTGTCTCATTTAGCAACAGAAACTTTAGGCTCAATTGTGGTCATAAGTCGAGGACTATCTGAATATCCAGAACATTTCAACCTTAAATGATAATAATAAGATTTTGTATTGTTTTGCAGACAGAGGTTAGTGTTGGATATAATATTACAATATAAAACTTTGGTCCTAATTGCATTAAACATAACTCATGGCAAATTGGGAATGACTAAGTATTGTTACTTTATTTCTCTGATATGAAGAATCTTTTTTCGGACCATCTCTCTTTGATTACATTAATTGGATTATTGGTTTTTAGATTCTTATTCTAAAAGTTTTGTTACAGTTTTTT